GGCATAGAAATGTTTTAAATAAATAAATAAATAAATTAATAAATATCAGTTTTGCCTGGCACAAAGAAGGATCTCCCCTGGTTTGTTCTGAATCTGCTGCCATCAGTTGCGTCACATGATGTGGTGCCTGCGTGTTTCTGAGAGGGAAATCTCTTCTTTCACGGGTCCTGTTCCAGTCACAGCCTTAGCTATCTCCGTCATGTTGCCCTGGGCTCCCACCTCCTGCTACATTAAAAAGAGGCGCTCGCTTGTAGTCGAGGAGCGGTTGAGTCTGGGCCTCTCCAGCTCACACCGAGATGCACGGAAAAGGTCAACCCTTCCATAACTGCTAATTAATTTTGGAGGCACTGTCGCTTTCTTGGAAATGTCACTTTCATGGAAATGTTTAGACACCCTTTTTAATGACTCCTTATTTGAATCAAGTAGTAATTAAACTCTCGCCTCCTGCTTTGCTAATGAAGTTGAGCAGGTAGATTATCTCCCTTCTCCTGCCCACTTCTGGCTTGGTGGACCTGGATTTCTCTTCCTGGCTTCTTGTGTCAGAAGACTGATGCTAAGATTCTTCTGGGGACTGTGGCGTGTGCAGGCGCCTGTGGGGAGACTGGTCCCTGAAGCAGGAGGAGTCGAACCAGCCAGAAACCAGGCCCAAAGAGCCCCCAAAGAGATATGAACATGCGAATATGGCTGAGGCCCCGTCGGTGAGGGTGTTCAAGGACAAGCTGGACACGCACATGGTAGGCATGCTGTGAGCAGAGCTGGGGGTCAGACTAGATGGCTCGGGAGGCCCCTTCTGACCCACTCAGTTTCTATGCATCATACCTGAGCTCATCATGGTAGGACCCAGGGGTGGAAGATGCTGGATGGAGGAAAGGAAGGACTTCTTCCCATTGTTGTGCCCGACCCTTTCCGACCCCATGGACAGCATTCCTCCAGGCTCTCCTGGCCTCATCATCCCCGGAGTCCACCCAAGCCCACACCCACCACCCCAGTGACTCCGTCCAGCCCCCTCATCCTCTGCCGTCCCCTTCTTCTTTTGCCATCTATTGTTCCCAGCATTAGGCTCTTCTCCAGGGAGTTTATTTTATTTATTTAATTAAAACTTTTATATGCCGTCCCTTATGCATGGCATCTCATGACGGCTTACAATCATTAAAATCAAGTACACTAAAACAATCTCTAGCAATAATAAATAACATATAGAGAATAAAAATAAATTAAGTAAAGAGCACATTAAGTACATTAAAATATTAAGTACATTAAAATACTAACTTTTAAAATAACGGTTAAATAAAAAGGTTTTGACCTGGCGCCAAAAAGGGTATAAGCTCGGTGCCAGGCGAACCTCTCCAGGGGGAGCACATTCCATAATCTGGGTGCCACCACAGAGAAGGCCCTGCTCTGAGTAGATGCTCTTTTTACCTCCTTCAGGGAGGGTTCTCGGAGCAGGGCCTTGGTCGCTGATCTTAAGGAGTGTGAGGGCATATAAGGAAGGAGAGGGTCCTTCAGGTATCCTGGTCCCAAGCTGTTCAGGGCATTATAGGTCAAAACCAGCGCTTTGAATTGGGCCTGGACTTCAACTGAAAGCCTGTGAAGCTGGTAGAGGCCCAGCATTATATGGGAATAACAACCGGTCCCCGTCAGCATCCTGGCCATTCTATTCTGCACCAGCTGAAGTTTCCAGACCATTTTCAAGGGCAGCCCCATGGAGAGCGCAGTACAGAGTCCTTCCTTCTCATCAGGTGGCCAAAGTATTTGAGCTTCATCTTCAGGATCTGGCCTTCTAAAGAGCAGCCAGGGTTGATCTCCTCTAGGACTGACCTCCAGGCCTTCCTGTCCTCCACCATCCCTCAGAGTCCGCCCAAGCCCTCACCCACCACCCCAGTGACCCCATCCAGCCACCTCATCCTCTGCCGCCCCCTTCTCCTTTTGCCATCAATCCTTCCCAGCATTAGGCTCTTCTCCAGGGAGTCCTTCCTTCGCATTAGGTGGCCAAAGCATTTGAGTTTCATCTTCTGGATCTGGCCTTCTAAAGAGCAGCCAGGGTCGATCTCCTCTAGGACTGACCGGTTTGATCGCCTTGCGGTCCAAGGGACTCACAGGCGTCTCCTCCAGCACCACAATTCAAGGGATGCCCCAGCAGAAATGAACTCTTGTAATGTCATGCAGCTGGGGCTTGGATGGGCCTGAGGAAGTCCAGTGATACCATCCTGCCTGCTAGCCTTTGCTGGAAGCGGTGCTGCTGCTGCAGTTCCTGTATTTTGTTCCCAGACATTGGACCTCTGGACTTCTGCTTGATGCTGCCTTTGGATCTCTGATATATTGGACTTCCATCACATGTGTGTGATCTTGGCTGTGTCTCTGATTTCTTTCTGGCAAAGCCATGTTTATTTGGAAAGCCTTGCGTGACTTTTGGCTTCTCTTGCTGCAGTTAGTTTTGTGTTTGCATCACAAAGAGCTGAACTTTGTTCAGTAAGAATGAGAGTAACTTACTCTGCAGAGGAGAAGCCAGGACATTGTACCAGGGCCACCGGATTTTCAAGAGAGAGTTATTTTATTCTCAGTCCTTTCTCTACAGCTAGAAGAGGAATACAGGTATCACCAGTGCTGTTGTCCCCGTGAACAGGTGTGCCTGGAACGGCCTGCTTGCAGAGTGACCGCCATGTTGGCTTTACCCTGTATCCTACCTGTGCGGAGCTCCACAGCTTGGCTTTCGTCTCCTGCTGCCTCCATCTGAGCTCTGGCTGGGCCAGAGAGTCTGGAGAAAGTGGACAAAATAAAGCGAAGAGAGGAAAGTGGGTCAGCGTGTTATTCTGTAGGTGGGGAACGCACAGCCTGTCTAATTCTGCGCAATCTGTTCCACGGTGGGGGCTTTAGCATACATTGAGTAGGAGGTCGAAGAAGTAAAATAAAGGAAGAAGTTAGTTTTATCTTGTATCCTAGTGCTGAAATTTTGTTGCTGCCATGGCAACCAAATTAGCTAAAAATAAAAAGCACTGACTTAAATGGCCAATCTCAGCACGCTTCCTCTGACGTCGAATGTACTCAACTCGAAATCTATAATCATGGTGCTGTAGCGATATTCATAGGTGCAAGTAGCTAATTAGCAGAGGAGTTTATCTCTGAGCGTGGGGCTTCAGACCCTCCAGCTTTCTGCCTTCAGTCCAGGGGCATCACATGCAGGCATTTAGCATGGCGCCTCCTGGCTCTTTAAATGCCCTGTTACAGGAGCCCCCAGACCTTCCATGGACACAGCTGGGAATTCCAGATACCACCACAAATGCCAGATTGTTGCATCGCTACTTTGGTTTCCACCAGCTCTCTCTCAGAGTTGAAGACGGCATAGAAACATAGAAACAGAGCGAGTCAGAAGGGGTCTCCCGGGCCATCTAGTCTGACCTCCGACACCAGCCGGCTCTGCTCATGACATGCCCACCATGTGGATGTCCAGCCTATCCTTGAACACCCGCACCGATGGGGCCTCAACCACCTCCCGTGGAAGCCCATTCCACGCCGTCGGGGTCCTGACTGTCAGGAAGGGCTTCCTGGCATCCACCCTAAATCTTGGCTCCCTGAGCTTTGCTCCGTTGCAGCACATCCTGCCTTCCTCTGCAGGGGAGAACAGGTCTCTCCCCACCTCCGTGTGACATCTTATCCAGCAAAACTTTTGCTTCTGTTGTGTATTGGACACCAGAGTGAAACCTTAACAGGGGTCTGCTTAATTCAGCAAATTTCATTCCCTGTATTGTCCCAACAGCATCTTTTCAACATGTGTTTTGGGAGCCTCCAATACTTGCTTCTTTGGGGAGGAATTTAAGGCCTAGATACATTTTGTATTGGAACATTCCATAATATCGACTGATATACTTGCCTGCCTCGTGGGAATCTGCAAATGGACAGGGAAAAAGCTTATCTGTGTCTCATAGACAAAATTAGCAAGGTGAACACTCACCTCTTGTATGCATTAGAACACCTTAAATCAACTTCAAATGAACACCTTATATGGGTATCTGGTCAGCATTTGCTTGAAGTCTCAGCTCTGTGTTTAAAGCGTATTTACCCTGAGACACTGTGGAATCACCTGCCATGGAAATGCCCTCAAAAATTGGCAGACAATGTCTTCAACCCAGCCTTTCTCAACGACAATTGCCATCCCGCTAGTGGATTTCGAGTCGCCACCTTTCAGCTCGTGCCACTCCAGAGACCCTCGTCTTCAGAACTGACTGGAGCCAGGAGTTAAGCTGCTCCCGTGATCTGGAGAGAAGGATGAAGGCTGCCCGTCCAGGCAGGAAGCGATACTGTTTTTAAGCATTTGACAGCTCTGATCTCATTCGGCACCTTGGCAGGCTTCCTGGCATCAATGCGAATGCGGCTGGACCAACCCTTCATCAAAGGATCACCGTCGCTGGCTGCCAGTTTGGGATTGCATGTTTTGGTGACTGCTTTTTAAACAGCTAAATGCCCCCCACCCCCCACTTGGGAATCCCCCAGGTTCTTTCAGTATTTTGGGAATGATCGCGCTTGATTTATCAACTGCCTTGCAAGGAGAATGAGGTACACTCTGCTACCACCGGTGCGGACATTTTCCTTTAGCACGTTGTTCCATGGAACCTCCAAGATCTACACGAAACCACTGGGAGAGGTCAGCCGGAGGTGTGGGCTGCGGAGTCATCAGTACATTGCTGACACCCAGCAATACCTCTCCTTTATGTCTAATCCAGGTGAGGCAGTGGCTGTCCTGAACCGGTGCCTGGCAGAGGTAATGGGCTGGATGAGGGCCAACAAATTCAGGCACAGTCCAGACAAGACGGAGGCCCCGTTGGTGGGCAGTTCACCCTTCCAGGTGTGTGACACCTGCCCTGTCCTGGATGGGGTTGCGCTCCCCCGGAGGACAGGGTGTG